AAAATCATGTTATTAAAAAATTTTTTTCAGTGGCATAGAGGGTTAGTGAACACAGCTTTACAGTAACAAATTCTCCTTTTGGAAGGATCCATTCTCAACCTACATTGCACAAATTTCCCACAAATAAAATTCCAATGAAAATGACAAATTATGTAGCAACTGGGGGTCAATTTACACAAAAACAACTTACACAATAACATAGACTTGTTGGTAACAAGATGTGTTTAAAGTGGTTAAACACAAAGATTAAAATGAAAAAAAGGAGATACTGTTAAAAGATTATAAAATTTTTTGAAAATCTGGAAATAAAAATTACTCAAATGGTGGTTAAAGTAACAGATTAGGCACAGCTGAACAGGGAGTTACTCAGTTGGAACTGACTGTAACATAGAATTATAGTTATGTGGAAAACCTATTCAAAAATATAGACATTGAAAATGTATATAATTAATTGGTCTTGAGAGAGTAGGCAAAACTTGAAGAGATTATAAAAGGCTTAGAATTTGATGAATTAATGAAATACCTGAAGATTCAGATTCAGGCAGCATAAGTTCCAAGTTGGGGGAGGAAAAATAAATTCATACCTAGAAACATTGTTATAAAATCATAAAATAAAAATCCTGTGCACATTGTTCACAGTTTGCATAATTAAAATGTTTTCTTTATAGTTTTTCTGTTGGCAAGGGACACATTAGTTGTAGGGTGATAGAAACAAATGTGTATTTTAAAAGAAGAAAAGTATCAGAAGCAAAAGCCCTTAAAGATTTAGATTAATTATGTTATAGGAAATAACAGTCAGGAACGTCTTTATTCCACCTTAATGGAACAGCTCCTGATTTTTACTTCAATTTATTAAGTTGTATGAGACAAGGACTTAATAATTTTTAAGCCCTTCTTAAAATATGCTGTAGAAAACAAAGAGTTAAATGGTTATGCTTCATCTAGGGATTTTTCTTTTAACCTTTTTTTATGTTTGTTTTTGACTAAAGGATTGGTTACAAGATAGACCACCAAACAGAGATATGTGAGTAAGCATTTTCTCATCTTTAGCTTGTAGAGTGTAGTTATTAAATGTTGTTTTGGTTTTGCTCTTTTTAATACTACTTTTATGGTTGGTGATTATTTTAGCAGCTGTCTACTTTGAAGAAATTGGAGAACTTGTTTATTATGAGTTAATGTAGTTTATTATGAGTTAATGTGGATTTGAATTTGTAATTTTATATAGTTATATATAATTAGTCTTAGTAAATTACAACATTATTAAAATATCCTTATATTGATATAGTTTTGTTTTATTAGCTTTGTTTCCAACTTGCTCTTGAATAAATTTCAGAGACTTGCTTGACACTGGCTTTGTACTTGTTTAACTTCTCTGCCTATAATTCTATCAAAAAAAATTTGTACTTGCTTATGGAAAGGGCTTTAATGATTAGAATAGTAACACACAGTATGTGTTAGAAAGCCTGCATACAGAGAGCCATTAGAAAATTGGTAATCCACATCAGAAAGTGGGAAAAAAAGACTATCTGACAAGTAATGAGTCCCAGAAAGTAAAAATTTTCAGTAGATATTAAAAATAATAAAGAAGAATCAAAGATAATCTCTGTGTTTCCAGTCAGGGAATAAGTACTTTAAAATTCCATAGGCCGTTATGAAAAAAGGTCACCTTGTTTTTTATTTTGTTTTGTTTTGTTATTAATTTTATCCAAATTTATTTTCTTACATCATTTTTGTACAGTACTTGGATTCTCCCCTCAGGTGTAGTCCCTGTTGTTCTCCCACCACCATAGCCCCATGAACCATTACCACAGTCCCTTGTGCTCTTCCCTCCTGTTTTGAGCCTTCTCCCACCCCATCCCTTCCTGTATACCTCAGATCTATAGTCATGTTGCAAGTTTCGTTTTTAAGAAAAAAGTCACCTTGTTTTGATACCCATGTGGTATTGGAAACATAGTAGTGTTGCTCTCTGATGTGAACTACTTTAAAAGGGAAACCAATTTGAGGGAAATTATTATATATTCTATTATTATATATTCTATGTTTTCCCCATTTCCTCTGTGCAACAGAAATAGTTATGAATATATAGAAAATAAAACAGGTGCAATTGTGCAAATTCTTAGGTATCCTGTTCCTGAATGACAGGAAAGACCAGTGTATATTCATACCTGATCAGAGAATAGTGTCCTTAATAACCAGAACAAAAGACTAAATATAGAATAGGTACTTGATGCTAATTCAGTTGTCTTAACAAGATAATATTGTCTTACAGAATGCTCACCCATAGAAGGACTCAGAAAAGTAGAATTGGTTGGCACTTTTGCAATGCTAAGAAAAAAAGGAGTTTATTGGCAGCCAACAGGAATGTTGCTAGTCGAAATATTTATATTATTAATGTAAAAGTCAACTGGAAACATCGGGGTCAGTTAGAATGTAAGAATTGTTAAGAGATTGCAGAGGTTCTATACCTTATCTTAGCAAAGGCCACAGAGCTATATAATGGGAGACAAGCTTCTAACACGTTTTATTTCATTCTACTTTACTTTTCACTATCCCCGTCTCTTTAGTTTACATTAGAATTCATGGAATTAATAGAACATTCACATGGAATCGACTTTGGACAATTTTTTTGTTGTTGTTAGTTTAGTTTTGCAAAGTGATGTTTATTTCTATTCTCTCAATTTGTTGCCCATCAATTCTGTTAAAACTATCTTTGGAATCCTGAATCCTGCAAAGTTACGTCAAGGCATTGTTATCGTACTGGGACAAATCTCCACAAATAGAAACTCATGAACTGTTTTACTCTGTTAGTACTGAACCTTCAGCTTGGCAACACTGTACTAATATTTATATATAGGCATAAATTGTAGCTATAACTTGTTATATACATATGTATGTATGAATTTGGCATTGGCTTAAGGGAACTGGCAAATACTTAAAAGGGAGTTTGAATTTCAGAATTCCTTCAATATTACTGTATTAAATAATCATAATAACTTCATAAATTAAAAATTTATATGGTAGCCAAAACTAATATTGTGATATAACTTATATCTTTGTTGTTTCTTTAGACCATCTGAAGAAGGAACATTAAATGGTAAGTCCAAGTAGTAGGATTAATGTAAAAAATTGAGAATCGCATAGGATCTGTTATAGCAAATACCACATTATCCCAGGTGTATGAAACTTTAGACTTCATGTTTGAAAGGCCAACGTAGTTAAAGTTTGTTTCCTTAGCTAGTTTCTTTTTAATGTACATGAACTCACCATGTAAATGACGACCTCTCATTTCTGTCACCTCCGTCATATCTGTTAGCATGTTCCTTTTCTTAGATTCCTAGTGAATAGTGCTCCATCAGTCATCTTGGAAAACTTGAGAGGGAGTGTGTTTAACTTGCATTCACAAAGTCCTGTTGCATTCGACTCTCAAATAACTCTGAAATTTATCTTCCAACATACATCTTACTGATGGTATGTTCAGTAATTGGTTCAGATTTTCATCATTTTTTTTAAAACTTCTTATTGAAGTGTACAACAGGCATTCAACAGGTGCTCAAATAACATCATTTCAACAACATCAGCCACGACCAGGATTTTTTTTTTATGCATACAAGAACTGGGGTGTAGGCCAGAGATGCAGGGGGTGAAAGGATTCACCAGAGACAGAGTAGGGAGCAGAACAGGCAGATTAATGAAATACACTGCTGAGGGAAGCAGTGGGCAAGACAGGAGAGGTTTCCTGTGCCATGTGGGTCAGCTTCCTGGCCAGAGATTGAACTCATGCTTCAGTGGGTGGCAATAGTTTGATAGTGCTGAGATTTTTAACCCCTGCGCCACCAAAGAGGCACAGGACTGGGAATTTTTAATCAACATTAAATTATGTTGAACAAAATAACATTTACAGACCTGGTTTCACTTTGCCATTTTGTTTAAAGTTGCAATTTTCAAGTACCTGTCAATAACTTTAGGTTAGATCTTAACTATATTGGAAAGTACAGCTAAGCCTCCATTCCAGTGCATTCTCACTAATGAAACATGCCCATGTATCCTCAATCAGGTCTTAAAATATTGCCTATATCCCAGCTGTTTGTGTTTTCTTCTTGTTACAGCCCTTATGCCTAACTAACACTGTAGATTACTTTTGTCTACCCATGAGTGTATGGTTATGTATGAAATACATAAATGGAATCATAAAATATGTACTCTTTCGTTTGACTTCTTCCTCCTAACCTGTTTATGAGATTCATCAATATCGCTGTGTGTAGTGGTCGTTTGTGCATGCTCATAATCTGCAGCATTTTCTTGTGTGATGTAAATGTATTGAATTTATCCATTCTACTGTATGATGAACATTTCAGTGATTTCCAGTGTATAGCCTTTGTGAATAGTGCTGCTAAAAGCATTCATGTAGATGATGTTTGGTAAACATACATATTTATTTTAAGTTGGATATAGGCGTGGAGTGGGACTGCTAAGGCATAGCATAGACACATTCTATGTAGTTATTACCAAAAAGGTTTTTATATACCGGTTTGGACTCCCTTCAGTCTATTTTCTATTCTGCCACCAGGCCCCAGAACACAAAAGTCCAAGACCAAAAGATATTTTTATTTTGGGGGCCTTCCTGGTGGTGCAAGGGGTTAAGATGCAACCTACGAGGCTATCTGCAGCCACTGCAGCACAGGTTCAATCCCTGGCCAGGGAGGTACCCACATGGCACTACGGACCTCTCCTGTCTTGCCCGCTGCTCCCCTCAGTGGTGTGTTTCGGTCTGTCTGCCTATTCTGTTTCCCACTCTGTCTGTGGTGAATCCTCTCACCCCCTTTTCCCCACACACACACCTCTGGCCCGTACCCTGGTTCTTGTATGCGTAAATAAATAAATCTATAAAAAAAAGATTTTTCTTTTTGAGTGCGAAGTATGGAAGGGATGCAGTTTGTGAAAGGAGAGTGTGTGCGCTTTCCCTTCCAGATGTCTGAATGCATTAATCTGGCATAATAAAAAAGAATAACAGCACATGATAGACATATTTTATTAATTTTTTTCCTGTTTTGTGAGGAGAGCTTATAGGAAGGAAATTTAGAATGTTTATATGAGAATGAACAAAAAGATATGCTGCAAAGGTACATTTAAAAGTGTCTTATTTGTTTATTTGCCATTTTAGGACTTGCTTCTCCATTTAAGCCAGTTATGGATACAAATTACTATTACTCAGGTCAGTAATATTAAAAACAAAATTTAGTAATATTTTGAACTTTCAGGAAGTTTATTATTTCTCTCTCATTTTTATGCAGCTGTGGAAAGAAATAACTTGATGAGGTTATCCCAGAGCATTCCATTCACACCAGTGCCTCCAAGAGGTAAATCTACAAAGTAAAGAAATTAAAAGGGAAATTAAACTCATTATTATTATTAATATGTGATTTTTAGTTGTATTACAGACATGGGTCAGATTAAGTAAGGCATTGAGATGGACTACACGGACTAAAACTACAAGAGGACTCGCATTAAGAAGTGTTAATTTCATATAAATTCTTAGCCTGACAACTACAAAAGTCAGGTAGCATCAGAAGTATTGATTTGCTCTATTACTGGCATATTCAGAAGCAGAGGTATAGTCTTAATTTGGAAAAGTTCTTGATCCATTGCTTAGTAATAAAGGTATAGATAAATTGACAGTAGAGAATTTGCGAAACAAATAGTTTTAATCTTCTGTCAGAATGTTTGCTATTTCAAAAATGTGTACCATTGCTGAATATGCATGAAGTTAGAAATAGTAGATTCTTGATTTCTGATTATTTGTTGCTTTTAAATTTCTTTTCTAAAACTACAGTGTAGTCCATCTCAATGCCTTACTTAATCTGACCCAAATATAGCTGTCAATTTTTATACCACCTGTCATTTTTTAAAGTCATAATTTAACTTTAAATGTGTGCATTCATGTTGCAGGTGAGCCTGTGACAGTGTATCGCTTGGAAGAGAGTTCGCCCACCATACTGAATAACAGCATGTCGTCTTGGTCACAGTTAGGGCTTTGTGCCAAAATAGAGTTTTTAAGTAAAGAGGAGATGGGAGGAGGTTTACGAAGAGCTGTCAAAGTACAGTGTACCTGGTCAGAACACGATATCCTCAAATCAGGCCATCTTTATATTATCAAATCTTTCCTTCCTGAGGTGGTTAACACATGGTCAAGTATTTATAAAGAAGATACAGTTCTGCATCTCTGTCTCAGAGTAAGTGCTAATGAACACATACAGTGGAACATAATTTGAGCTTCTTGTTTTCACACCTGAAGTATGATAAACCAAATAAAAGCTTGGTTTCAAATGTTGAAAAGGGTTTGTTTTTTCTTTTCTGTAGGAAATTCAACAGCAGAGAGCAGCACAAAAGCTCACATTTGCCTTCAACCAAATGAAACCCAAATCCATACCATATTCTCCAAGGTATATGTTTAAATTTTTCTGGGGTCTTAGTTGTGTGGATAACATTCTCTCTTGACTTCATTATTGGTACTGAGTATTTAATTATTTGCCATTTTAAAGATCAATTTGAATTTTACTAACAAACTACTAGTAATAACTATTATTATTTTTTCATAAGGTTCCTTGAAGTTTTCCTGCTGTATTGCCATTCAGCTGGTCAGTGGTTTGCTGTGGAAGAATGTATGACTGGAGAATTTAGAAAATACAACAATAATAATGGTGATGAGATTATTCCAACTAATACACTGGAAGAGATCATGCTAGCCTTTAGTCACTGGACTTATGAATATACAAGAGGGGAGTTACTGGTACTTGATTTACAAGGTAAATTTATTGAAGCATTTCTAAAGTAAAAATGTTCTGTAAATTCTCACATTTTTGTGTGTTATGATATACAGAAATTACTAATTTATAGGCAGGTAAAATCTTAGACAGTAAAAACTATAAAAAGCAAGTCAATAACATATAGCCATTAAGACCGTGAATAGTGGGAATTGGTTATCTTCATTGTTACTTAGGTAATATGGATAGGCAGAAACATGGGGAAATCTCATTCTACTCTAAGATACAGCCTTAGTCTTTTAGAAGTATAACGATAGTTTCTTTAAAACAGTAACATTTAGGTCCTCCCCGGTGGCGCAGCGGTTGAGCGCTGGGTTGCGAAGCTGCCCGCGTGCAGCCTCTGCAGCGCCAGTTCAATCCCCGGCTGCTCCCCGGCCACTGGAGGAGGGTCCCACGTGGCGCGCAGACCTCTCCTGCCGCCCGCTGCTCCCCTCAGCAGTGTACTTTGGTCCTTCTGCCTGCTCTGCTCCCCACTCTGGCTCTGGTGAATTCTCTCACCCTCCCATGCTTCTGGCTGTACCCAGTGCTTGCTTGCATGCATGCATAAACAAACAAACAAACAAACAAATCTTTAAAAAAATAAATAAAAAAAACCAGTAACATTTATCTCTCTTGTTCCTGTTGCTTATGTTACCTCTTACTGTGAACTAAAGTACCTAAAAATTTAGTGGATTAAAATAGCCATTTTCCTTAGTTCAGAAATTTCAATGGAGCATAGTGGAAATGGGTTTTCCTACAGTGCTTCCTCTTGGAGCACTCAAATGACTGCAGATGAGCTAGCAGAGTTTGACTGTAGCCAAATATTGAAGTCTCTGTTCACTGTAAGCTGGATTCCACAGTTCTGTACCAAGTATCCTCTTTGCATGACTAGAAACTTGGACTTGGAGTTTCACATTAGACTAATTACATGGCAGAACATCCTCCAGAGAAAAAGTAGAAACTCCTAGGCGTAGGCCTACAACTGGCCCAGATCCCTTACTCTGCATTTTACTGGTCAAGTCCAAGTGATAAGGATAGCCCAGATTCAAGAACTGGGGAATAGATTTCAGCATTTGAAGAGTAACATATATACTAGAAAGGAAAACTGGCTGTCATCTCTATAGACGGACCCTTCATATGTAAAGAAAAAGAAAGAAATTGGGCCTCCAGTGGCACAGCGGTTGAGCGCCGGGTTGCGAAGCTGCCCACTGCCTCTGCAGCACCGGTTCAATCCCCGGCTGCTCCCCGGCCACTGGAGGAGGGTTGCCACATGGCGTGCAGACCTCTCCTGCCGCCCGCTGCTCCCCTCAGCAGTGTACTTTGGTCCTTCTGCCTGTTCTGCTTCCTGCTCTGACTCTGGTGAATTCTCTCACCCTCCCGTGCCTCCAACTGTACCCAGTGCTTGTATGTATGTATGTATGTATGTATGTATGAATAAATAAATAAAATAATCATTTTTAAAAAATTAAAAAGAAAAAGAAAAAGAAAGAAATTGTGGTTGGAAGAGTACAGATTTGCTTATAGTAATAATTTATGCAGACTCACAGCAAGGCCAAAGGAAAGAAAATTGAGCAATTTACCAGTTCTGAATGGATAATACTTTCACTATTAATAGCCTTAATTTCAAATGTCAACACAGACCAGATTTCAGAATTATGTAAGAATTGTTTAGAATACTTATGACTTGAAGACTTCTTTTACTATATAAATACAAACATAAAAGATCTGTTGAAAAGCAGAAATTTGTATTTTTGTGTTTTTAAAATTTGTATTTTTTCATATAAATTAAATGGTATAAGTATATCCAAAATTGTGATGTTTATTATTGGACAGGCCAACCCAATTTAGTAAAAAGGATCTTAGTTAAGATATATTCTTAAATAAGTATCATTTAGTTATCTTCAAACATGCATAGGAGCTGAGGCCAAACAGATTTTGTTTAAACTGTTTTAATTTAAAAGATGAAAGTTCTTTTCTTTTTTTTTTTTAAGATTTATTTATTTATGCATACACGAACTGGGGTGTCGACCAGAGGTGTGGGGGGTGAGAGGACTCACCAAAGACAGAGTAGGAACAGAACAGGTAGACTAAATGAAATGAAGCAACGAGTCAGACAGGAGAGGTCTGCTGTGCCATGTGGGTCACCTCCCTGACAGGGGATTGACCTCATGCTGCAGTGCCTGCAGATTGCTTCATAGTGCTGAGACTTAATCCCTTGTGCTGAGACTTAATCCCTTGTGCCACTAGGGAGGCCCAGATGGCAGTTATTTTCAATGAGCAGAGCAATTATGATGCTCTCTGCATAATACGTTCATGGAGCCCTTTTGTCATAGAAATACTTTAGACATTTACTAGGAACAAATTAAACAATATAGAAAACATAATAAACAAAGTGGCGTTGCCTTTCTTTCTCTACCTCTGATGATAGAGACACAAATGGAGACTCTGTGTGTGTGTGTGTGTGTGTGTGTTTATGTTTTTTCACTTTCTACTTAAGAGTATATTAGGGACATCTTCTGGCTCATTACTGATAAATCTGAGTTACTCCTTTTAATAGATAAATTATAGTCTGTAGTAAGGGGAGATTTAGCTTGATTTACATTCTCTATTGATGCAGTCACCTTATTTTTTAGGCTTTTGGTTTTTTTTTTTTTGCTACAACCTGTGATATACAGTGATGCAATAGATATAGTGATGTACTGTTACTTCTCCTTCCATAAGATAGTTTCCTAAGTTGCCTTATAAGAAGAGAGTTATATAGTTTCAATATTACTGCCAAGTTACTTTTCCTAAATAAAGGAACTCATACCCAGAACTGTATGCAAGTGCCTGTTTCTCCATAATCTCTCCAGTACTGAATGTTCTTAATCTTTACCATACTGATGAGAAGAAAGTAGGATCATGTTTTAATTCTGGTTTTCCCTATTGTGAAAATGTAACCACTTTATTAGATTTCATTCTAATGGAGTAAATATTTATGATCATTCAGGTGTCAGTATGTATTCTTTATGTGAATAAATATATAAGAGAGACTAGAAAGATTTAACCCTACTTATCACAGGACTGGAAGTGAAGGAACATGTTCCTACTCTTACTCTTTATGGAATCCAAATGTTTGCAGTAAAATATTCCTTTGTTAGTGCATGATTTTTTTTTTTAATCCAAAACACTTTTTAAAATAGATGAATTACTCCATTATGTATCTAATTAAGGTAAAACAAGGGCAGATTATGTAGATCTTTTACTTGAGATAATGTGCTTGCAACATTAGCCTTGTTTTATTAGAAACTGGTATAATCAGGATCTCACATGCCTACCTACCAACTCTGACACTTGAACTATCATTCACATCACAGGTTCCATGGTGCAAAGTTGATGTTATTAGTCAAGTTAGGAAATAACAAGAGAGAGAATACTATACTCTTGAATAATATTGTAATGGTTGATGGTGCTATGAAGTCTTTTTTTAGATTTTTATTATGCAAATGTCAGTGTATTAATTATATAAATATTTCTTTATATGTAAAGGCGTGGGTGAAAATTTGACTGACCCATCTGTGATAAAAGCAGAAGAGAAGAGGTAATAAGTTTAATAATTAGATTTGTCATTTTTATAATCTCAAATTCCACATTTCCATTCACATAAACTATCTTTTTTTTTTTAAACTACCAATTTCACAGGTCCTGTGATATGGTTTTTGGCCCAGCAAATCTAGGAGAAGATGCAATAAAAAACTTTAGAGCAAAACATCATTGTAATTCTTGTTGTCGAAAACTTAAACTTCCAGGTAAACATTTTCTTAATCAGTATAACACATAAAGTTTTAACAAAGTTGGTTACTACATTATCTCCGAAGTCCAGAGGCACACAAAAGCATATCTTTATATGTAAATGGGTCTCTGTCTTTACTTATAAAGCACAAGTTCATTCATTTAATACATATTTATTGTGTCTGCTAGATGCCAGGAATCATACTAAATGTTTGACAGTAGAATAATAAACTAAACAGATATAGTCCCTGCTCTCAGTGGAGCTTAGTCATATTTTGAATACTGACAAGATTAATGAGGAGTTATGGGACTGTCATAAATGCCAAGCAACATATAGCTGTTTGATATAAGATGAAAATGTAAGGCTATATGCATGTTCTGTGGTTAGTTTACATTATAAATTTTATATTACTACATTGTTTTCCATTTCTGCAAACACTGTCATGTTTATAATTTCCAAAGTGACTCCATCTTATTCCATACCTACAATTGCAGTCTACATTCTGATAGTACCAAATATATCTGAAGACGTAAATTCTCAGCTCCTATTTCCATATTCACTTGCCCACATTTCTATTTGTATACCATAAAGCATCTTTTAGTAATATGCCCTTTCCAGAAATTTTGACTGCCATCTCCCACCCCTACCTACAAAACCCTGCTCACCCCTTTCATTTTGTTTACACCATTGTTTGACCTCAAAACCTGAAAGCTAGCCAATTGCTCTCTTCTCTTGCCTCTCCGAGCCAATCTATTGAATTCTATCTACTCTAATATGAAATCTCCTTAGAATTCATCTATTTCTATCTTCACTGCCGCCACCTTGTTTTTTGGATTCTTCCCACTTGCCCCCACTAACAAGATTTCACATGATAATCAGAATATTCATTTAAAACAAATGAGATTGTTTCTTCCTAAAGACTGCTCATTACTTTCCTGTGGATTTTCATTGTAACCTGTCCTCCTTACCAGAACTTGTGTCCCATAAGTCAGGAGTCAACAAACTTTTCTGTAAAATGCAAGGTACAAAGTGTTTTATACTTTGTGAGCCATATGGGTCACAACTACCCTTTGTAGCTCAGAAATAGCCATAAATAGTCTAAACAAATGAGTGAGACTGCATCCCGATAAAACAGGCAGCACTGTTGTCACAGTATTACAAAATAGTCAGCAAGCCAGATTTGGCTCATAGGAAGTAGTTTGAGGACCCTTGGCCATTAATTGCTATTCCACTACATTTGCTAGTCTTCCCCTCTTTCATTATAGGCAAACCACACTGTCTTCCTGCCTCTTAAAACACACATTCTCATTTCCTTCTCACAGTCTTTGCAGTTTACCTCCCCTCTGCCTAAAACACCCTCCCTAAGCTTCTGTGTGTCATTTCTCAATCAATATTCAGATTTTGACTCAGCTGTAAACTCCTGTGGCTTCTTGTCCTGCCCTGCCTAAAAGAATCACTGTATACCATCTCCCATCTCCTGTATGCCATCTCCCATATCACATATACCATCTCCCATCTGATTAGCACACTTTTCTTTGAAGCACTTGTTACTACATGTAATTTTGTCATTTTCCTGTTTTTCCTTCACCTACAAGAATATAAGCTCCATGAGAGCAGAAAACTTGTTTGCCTTGTTTATTGCTATGTTCCCATACTTACATGAGTTACTGACTCATGGTCATAGCATACTTATTTGGTGAGTGAATGAATTTAATTTTTATGTATATACATTTTGTAGCTACTGAATTTGTAATAAATTTATAACAAAAAAATAAATGTGACCAAAAATGATTTAGAAAATGTTCTTGAGTCTCTGTTTCTAAGAAATTCTAATTTTTTTTTTTTTAACTTCTTTTGTTGGGGATTGTGAACATAGATCTGAAGAGGAATGACTATACACCTGATAAGATGATATTTCCCCAGGATGAGCCTTCAGAATTGACTCTTCAGTCTGGAAGTTCCACCAAAGAATCAGAATCCACTAATTCTATACGTCTAATGTTGTAATGTTACTGAGTCATTGGTTTTGCCTACACCTCACCAAAATGTTAGTGTCACTTTTCCTTCAGGAGGAAGAGTTTGGTAATATGGAAAGTGTGTGCAGTTTGAATATGATGAATCTAGTGCGGTTTAAAGGTCAGTATTCTACTGACCTGGTTAAGCTAATCAGTCAGGAACCCCTGTAGGATACAGCTGGTAACTGTAAAATTCTTAAGGTAAAGAAAATTAGTATTTATAATTTCTTAAAGGGCTCTTTTTGCAGAGGATTTCATTTGACTTTGTTCAGATGGGGGGGTGATGCCCTTTCTCTTTCGGTGCAATACATTAACCAAAGTTAGGTGTCTGTGCAGATTTTATTGGCAGCTGGTTTACTGCCATTCAGCTAGCAAAATGAAGAAATCACCCAGCCATTTGGTTAATTGGCAGTCAGACGTCTTCCTCGAGTGTTTGAGTGTTCAGTGATGATGTCACTAGTTTCCAGCTAAATTCTTGCTGGCCACAGGAAAGATGACTTGTTATAGTTGTAGGTTCACAGGGATACAAGAAGCCTAAGCTGAAAACCATTTTCTAAGAGGAACTTTATTAATCAGGATTAGGCTCCATATTTAGAGGTAGAGCCAGTTTTTTGTTAAATAGAGCCCAAATTGTGCAATGGTATTCAGTTTTTAAAAAAAACAATTGCTTTATCAAGTCATTGTTAAGTGAAAGACATGGTAGACTGGTATGACCTAAATCTATCAAAGGAGAAACTTAATTCATTGTTCAAGAGACATTACCTTATGGGAAAACTTAAAGTGATTTTTTTTTTTTTTTAATCTGTATCTGCAGAGTCAACCTGGAAGTTACATACTTTTCCAAAGATTTTATTGACAAGTATATCAAATCAGAATGTAAACATGAACTTTTGAATATATATTTAAAATTGTGTAGGAACAACTGAACATGAATTTTTTTGTGGTACTTATTTAATTGAGTTGGATTATTATGTGATGTCGGGAGATTGCAATGCAACTTTATGCTAATAAAATGTAATTTAACTGCCCCTGATATTGTTGAATACTCAACAGCAAGAAAAGGTTTTCCCCTGATTAAAGTTTCATGCTTTGATTTTTTTTCTTTTTGTTTTCTAGGTACTAATTTTAATTTTTATTTGGGAGGGAGCAGTGTAAAGCTTATTTGTATTCAGTAGTGTATCTCATAGATACAGAAAAGACAAGAGATAAGCTGTTTAAATAGTGTTTAATATTGATGGGGGGGAAGAAAAAGTGTATTAAAGATACTATATACATTTTGTATATCATCAAATCTCTAAAAAGAAATTAAATAAATTTATTCTTGTTTACAAATATTTAGTGAGTTTAATCATTCCAAGAAATTATCTGATATTTACAGAGCATCAGTTTGTCGTCAGGTATTTTTTCTTAATGAACCATTTGCAAACCTGTGCTTTTTGATTTTTATATCCTGTACAATGTGTAGAGTGATCCTGGTTTCCTACTGCATCTTTTTTAAAAATCTGTTTCTTCTTATGACCAAAAATGGAAATGTGGGTTATCTGTTGATGTTTAGTTTTAACTTGGTTATTTTCACCATAGCAATACTACAAACATTTAACCCTTAATATAAGCAAGGCATTAATTACTCTTAAGTACTTTATGTTAACCCCTTCAATTCTTATAACAATGTAATGAAATAGGTATTATTTTTTTCTTTAAGATGTATTTATTTTTTTATGCATAGAAGAAATGAGGGGTAGGCCATAGGTGCAGGGGTTAAGAGGATTCTCCAGAAACAGGGTCTGGAGCAGCACAGGCAGATCTACTGAAATACACGGCTGAGGGGCACAACGGGGGCGAGACAGGAGAGGTCTGTTGCACCAGGGTTAGCTCCCTGGCCCAGGATTGAACTCGGGCCGTGTAGGCCATTGTGATAATGCTAAGACAACCCCTAGGCGACCAGGGAGTCCCCTGAAATATGTATTATTTTATCCCATTTTGTAGATAGAAAGGTATTAGGTAAAGTACCTTACTGAAATTCATATATATATGTTATTATTTTTACATATACATGTTATATACATGTTATATAGTAAAATACATGTAAATATTATATATTATATGTATGCATATATAAAAATTACTAATTTTACAATTAGTAGCAGACTAGAATTAAGCTGGCTGGCATTCATCTCTGCTCATAAGCTGGTGATGCATGTTGATCAGAATGGGGCTGTGTTAAAGACTTCAAAAAGTACAGAAAATATGAAAATTTCCCACCCTTAGGTTGAACTAGGTTACTTTCATAGTTGTTTTTGCCCTTCTAGAATACTCTTCACAGAAAGCAAGACCCTTAGGATTTTACCTTACATGGTAAATGGTTTGTGTTAAGTTTCATTGTTAAAAAATATGAATTTTCATGCCTCCCCGGTGGCACAGCAGGTTGAGCGCAGCATTCTGAAGCTGTCCACAGCCTCTGCAGCACGGGTTCGATTCCCAGCTGGCCAGGGAGAGTCCCAAATGGCGAGGCAGACCTCTCCTATCTCTCCTGCTGCTCCCCTCAGCAGTGTACTTCATTCAATCTGCCTGCTCTGCTCCCTGCTCTGTCTCTGGTGAATTGTCTTACCCTCCCGCCTCTGGCCTGTACCCCAGCTCTTGTATAAAAAAATAAATCTTTAAAAAAAAAATAAGAATTTAGTCCTAATTTTTTTCACAATACCAAGCTTCCTCTTGAAGAAGATAGATCATAGTGATAGTCTTGTGTTTTAAGTAGATTGAGCAAGAGTACCCAATAAATAGCTATTTATGACTTAGAAAAGAGATCAAGCAGTTATTTACAGAAAATGATACATCTAGGGGCAAGGATTTTTGTGTTCTCCTGATTTACCATATCTGTTTTGATGGTTTCCCAGCTATGTCGCACACACATCTATATTTGATGAACCCATATGCTCACATCTATCATAACTAGGACTTGGCTAATGTCAACCACTGTGTCCCTCTCAAAATCAGACTGTATTACCCATTAGGAACTGTCTTACTTATTTTTATTTACCTTAGTGCCTGCTGGACTTCAGAGCATGGAATATAGATGCTCAATAATTACATGTTAAAGAAGTACCATAGAATATTCCAATATTATATGATCAGTGAGCTTTTTCTTAGAAAAAATCCCAAGCTATAATTCTGATCTCCAGAATATGTTTTCCCTCTTTTAGGCTCCTTGAAAACTGCTCAAAGCAGAGTTTCTTCCTGGAGTCCATGAATCTGCCTTAGTGGGCATGGGTGAGGGGGAGAGGACGTGGTTATTCTTCAGAAAACCTACACGCTCACAGTAAGTGGCACCAATCAGGGTACTTTTCACTCATGCTCTGTCTGCCTCACCCAACATTTAGCCTTATACTTTGTTTTCCCCTGGAAATTCTTGGCACTCGTAATAAGAAATTTTTCTTCTATTTTAAGTATGAATATCTTAGTATGTGTTTTTAAAATACAAGAACTATATCACACCCAAATTTTTTCTTACAATATGCTTGAATTAGGACTCAAGAATTATATATTACATTTGCTTAATTTGCCTTAAAAGTGTCTTTCATTATATAATTTTCTCCCAGGAGATATCTATCTGGTTATCTTTGATGGTCATCACCAGATCTGTTAGGACAATAGTTTTCAAGGTTGACCACAGATCTTTGAGGATCGCTAAGACATTGTCCAGGAGCACTCAAGGTCAAAATTACTTAAAATTCTAAGATAACTTGCCTTTTTCATTATAGTGAGAGTTTTGATGGGTAAAACTACTGGTACCTTAGCATGAATTAAGGTAGTAACAACAAACTATAGTCGTTCTTCTCCCTCATACCCCAAATTTTCTTAAGTCCATTTCATTTGAAATATCTTTGATAAAAAGGTTAATATTTAATCTTAACCTGTTAACACATTTTCAATTTCCTGTGAAAGAAAATATGCACAAGACCTTTTGCTAAATCATGATATGGTATTTAAGGAAAAGCACTTACTGTAACTATGAATTTCAAACGGAACTAGTCAATTCTTTTCGTTCTAGTTGAAAGAATTTTGAGTGGTAAACCAGGGTTATTCAGACGTTAGTACTTGATAGTATAAGGCTTGTAATGAGGCAGTAATTGTGAATGCTAAAATTTGAGCTTTCAAGAGAAAATTGGAGTTTTGGAAAACTTGCCTCTTAACAGCAATAGCATGACAGCTTTCCAGTACTTTTTTTTTTTAAAGATTGATTTATTTATTTTTATACAAGAGCTGGGTACAGGCCAGGGGATTGCGGGGAGCAGAACAGGCAGACTGACTGAAATACACCACTGAGGGGAGCAACGGATAGATATGACAGGAGAGGTCTGCCACACCATGTGGGAATCTTCCTGGCCGGCCAGGAATTGAACCCACACTGCAGAGGCTGCGGACAGCTTCACAGTGCTGCACTCAACCCGCTATGCCACTGGGGAGGCCTGGCTTCCCAGTACTTTTTCATAAATCAATATTGATTTAATAATGGTTATTTTTGATTGCCTTTAACAAAATATCATCCTTTGGAAGACATATGTCTTCCAAGTTGGTCGTTCTGTTCCCCACTCTGTCTCTGGTGAATCCTCTCACCCCCTACACCTCTGGCCTATACCCCGTTTCTTATAAGCATAATAAAATCTTAAAATTCACAAGCCGCCCGTGGCCTCTGCGGCGCCGGTTCGATCCCCAGCTGCTCCCCGGCCACGGCGGAGGATCCCACATGGCGCACAGACCTCTCCTGCCGCCCGCTGCTCCCCTCAGCAGTGTACTTCGGTCCTTCTGCCTGCTCTGCTCCCCGTTTTGGCTCTGGTGAATTCTCTCACCCTCCCGCGCTTCTGACTGTACCCAGTGCATGTATAAACAAAACAAACAAACAAACAAAATAAATAAATAAAACATGCCTCTCTAAAAAAAAAAATAAAAAGATTTAACAAAAAAAAATTCACAAGCCAATAATACCAAATTTTAAAACTGGGCAAAAAAAGTGGGAGACAAAATAACAAACTGGGCAAATAGTCTGAATAGACATTTTCCACATGCCTTTAGCAAACATACTCAATGGTGAATTATTCAGTATTCCCTCCGAGTTCAGGATTGAGCTAAAGTTACCTACTAGCCCCACTTTTATTCAACATT